TATAATGACTTCCCAATATAAAGTTTAATACCAAAATAATAAGTGGAAGCTTAAAATTAAGTAGAATTTTAAAGATAACTAGGAATTTAATAATAAATAGAAATATAAAAATAAAAATAAATAGAAATTCAAAAATAGGCTGAAGTTTAAAAATAGATAGAAATATAAAAATAAATATAAATAAAAAGAAATGGAATTATTTAAAATTAAATTGAATATCAAAAATAAATAGGAATTTAAAATCAATTAGAATTATAAACCAAAGCAGAGTTGAAGAAATAAGCTGAATATTAAAAATAAATAGAATAATTAAGATAATTAGAAATTTAAAGAAAATAAGAAATTTAAAGTTAATTTGATATTTAAAAATAAGAAGAATAATAAAAATAAACCGAATTATAAAAATAACAAGAATAATAAAGATAAAATGAAGCCAGAAGAATTTCGGAAACATAAAGAAAAGTTGAATTATAAATGCAGATAGAATAATAAGAAAAATTATAAAATCAAATTTAAAGATAAAGATATATTGAAATTTAGAAATAATAAGAAATATAATAATAAACAGAAATTCAGATTCAAACATTAAAATTATAAGAATAATAAAGAATTTCAGAAGAATAGTAAAAAAAACAAAATTTAATAAATTAATAATAAAAACAAATTTATAATTAATAATATTTTGATAATTCTTATAATGATTAATAAAATGAAGCAAATAATTTTAAATAATATATGTCTAATTCATATATAATATAAAGAGAAAATGCTTATTCTATTAGTAATTCAGCTTTAAATTATAAATAATAAAAAATTTAGTAATCAGCTTCACCAAAAAAAGCAGTTGATTAACCAATTTTCAATTAAAATTAAATTCCTTTTTCTTAAGAAGAAAACAATTAATAATATAGCTTTTTCGATACATTAATGAAATAATAATAGAAATTAAATACTTAAGAGAAATAAATTCAATTACAAAATACAAGAAACTATATTTCAGGTAATTATGAGAATTAAAATATTTATAACAATCTTTAAGAATAAACTTTTTCAGACAAAAACATTAATAATAATAATTACTATTTACCTGAATATTAGAAATTTTAAACATAATAAAATTATAACAATTAGTTTTAATATTAAAATTTGTCTGTTTAAAATAATATTATGCTTAATTAATAAGTTTAAGGAAAAACATTTTTTAATGAAAAAAATAATTTTTCGGAAAATAATAATTTGGTTGAAAAAAATACGATGTTTGAACCAGAAAATCATTCAAATTAAAAAAATTATATGTCGGTGGTTGTTGATAATTCTAATAAAAATTAAAATTAACAAATTGAAACAAATTTTAGTAATAATGAAAAGAATAACATGAAAAAATCAGGATATATAACTCCTTAAATATAATAACTTTTAAATAAATATACTAAGAATATTTAAGAAGATACAGAAATTTTAAAAGTAAATGACGAAACTAGAAAAAGCATGACTTAGTCATTAATAAATAAATATGTAAAAAAAGATGATATCCAAAGGAATAATAGTAGTATATATAAATGAACTTTTTAAATAAAATTAATATATATTAAATATAAAAATAATTATTTTATATATATATTTATATAATAACTTGACTTTATTTTAAGAATTTAATATTTTAAAAGAAAATTATCATTAAATTATTTTTGGATTAATAGAAAATTTTTATATTTGATAATTAATATAACTAGTATAAATAATTTTATATTCAGTTTTTCTTTTAATATTAGCTTCATATAATTTACTCTAATTATACATTTTCATTTAATCCTTAATTAAATTTTAAGCAGTATATTCATTATTTTTCCCTAAAAACACCACTCCATATAAAAATTAGAAATTTCTAAAAATATTGTTAATATATTTTTCTAAAATTAATTAAAATTCTACTTTTTCTGATTTTCCATACAATATTACTTCTAATATACTTCTATATAATATTTACACAATCATTTTTTGTTGAAACAAAATCTAATATTATTTAATATTTTTTTTTTCCAATATTTAACAAAAACAAATGTAAAATCGTATATACCTAAAATAATTCATTAAAGTTATAGCTATCCACTGGCTTTTTACATTCAATTAAATTTTTTTCGAAAAAAAAAAAATATTATTTATATAATTTACATCTTTATATTAAACTTTTTTTATGTCTATGCAGCTGAATATTACAATGATCTTAAGTTTGAGTTTATCCGCTATCAATACATTTTGATTAATGTTAGCTAATTTATCTTTTTTTACTGATTTAGTTTGTATTTTAATATTTTTATCTTTTAATACAATTCTATTTTTTAAATTTTATTATTCATTGACTAAAAAAGATTATGATTAAAAATAAAATATAAATAATATACTTGTTAAAAATAGTAACATTTGTCGAAAAATTGTTTTTATTTATAATCTTATTTCTATATCTCAAAGTAAGTATCCATCCCTGAATCACTAATATATATTTATCCCACCTCTATTAAATCCTTCTTCTTTAATTCAAATTTTTTTTATGGTTAGATTTTTTGAATATTTTTATGCTAATAAAGAATTGTTTTCCTCTAATATGGAAAAAAGAAAATTAACTTTTTTATTTATTTAAAAAAAAAAAAAATCGGTAAAAGACATCATTTATCCCGAAAATTAATTTACAAGAAAAACAAGGAATGTATAATAATAGATTTTACAATATATTCATTAAAAAAATATAAATTAATATTTAATAAATATTAAAAATAAGAAAAATCAAAAAGAAAATAAATTATATAAAAAATTTATAAATTTTCAAAAAAACAAAAAATGTCATAATTACTAACATTTAAGTTATATTCTTTTTTTACATTGTTATTTGCAGGAGGAGCAATAATAAACTCATATACAATTCACGAATAATTTTATGAATCAGTATTATATTTATCAATCCATAAAGTGAATAAATTAATATTTCTAAATTTTTTTTTAATGTTGGGAACATTTATAAGTAATGCAATAATATAATTTTTTTATGGAGAAATTCGTGAAATAGAAAAAATAGTATATTATTTATTTAAAAATAAATTATATTTTTTTTTTTTTCAGAATATAGTTGATAATGTAAAAATAAAAATTGTTGATTTAGCATTAATTGTTCTCCTTTTTAAAGATGAATCTTTAGATGAGTCTTTTCTTATTCTTTTAATATTTTAAGTAGGCTTTTGGATATTCCATTGGTTAACAATAAAAAGATCTGAATATGTAAAGCATATATTATTTTTCCAAATTAAATATATTAAAATATAGCTTGTAATTGAAAATAATGAAAGCAGTAAGATGACAATGAAATTATTTTTCATGTACATATGTTTATTTTGCATAGACACAATTATTTTGAAAAAAATGTATATTTATTAAAAAAAGTATAATAAAGAGAACGTATAAATAATAATGATGTTTTTCCTAGAATTACTTCTTGTTTGTATTAATCTAATTTTTCCTTTTATAAAATATTTGGTTTGTATAATAGAATCTTTTACGCATTCACATTTTGATAATAAAAATATGTATTTAATGGTATTAGAATTTATACTTACAACAACTAAGCTATGCCTTTAATTATATACTAGATTCATTTTTAATGTTTATTTACCTTTGATTGGAGAAGTTATTGAAAATATTTATTCTTTATATTAAAATTGTATTAAGTTTATTTCTTCTTTAAGAATGTTATAGCTTATTAATAAGTATTATTTTATTTTAAAATTAAATTCAATTTAATTTTTTTAGGTTGCCTGATTTTAAAGAAAAAGAAATGTAAGATATTGACAATACATGTTTAATCTGTTTGTAAGAAATAAAAGAAGGAAAGCAAATTAATTGCGGGCATATTTTTCATAAGGGTTGCCTAAAAGAATTAATTGAAGGAAAATCAAATTAAATATGTCCTAAGTGTAGAAAACCTATAGAATTAGCAGAATTTGTTGAATAAATAAATAATAATTAAAATGAAAATAACAAAATAAGAGATATAAATAACAATCAAATAATTTAATAAACTTTTAATAAAGAAAGTATTTTATTTTTTAAAAAAGGCAATATTTATTTTTAAATAAATAGATAATGTATATTTAAATAAAATAATAAAACTAATATCAGAAATAAATAATTATGATAATATGTTTAAAAAATAATACAATTTGATTGATTATAATATTTCAACCTTAGATTTTAATCATTTAAAAGGAAAAACAGATTTAAATAAAAGTAAATATAAATTTTATTTAATTTTTTTAAAAATTAATATATTTAATAATAGTTCCTATAAGTTTCTCACTTCCAAAAATATGCAATTATAAAAATAATTTAGCAGATGCGTGTTTAAAGAAAAAAATTGAATTAATGAATTTAATTACTAATGGTATTGAATAAGAAAACATTATGATTTTATCATTTTTTAGTGGTGCAACATAAAATTTACTTAATAATAATACTAATGAAATTGAAAATAAATAAAATTAAAATAATAATTTGAATGATATATTTTAAATTTAAAATAATTTTTTAAATGAAATAGAAACTAATTAAAATAATAATACAATTGAAGATTTATAAAATATTATTGTTAATGATGAATAAGATGAAAAAACTAAAAGAGAAATGTGGATTTAAAGATTATAAAATTAAATTATAAACTAAACTTAATAATGATTATTTAGTAATTTACAAAAAAATAAATATTAATAAAATAATATAATATCTAATAAAATAATAAATATTTATATAAATAATTTTTGAAAAAATTTTAATAAATAATATATATTATCAATTTATATATATATATATATATATTATTATTATTTTAAATTATATTCTATGTAAATTAATATAAATAAAATATATATAGATTTTAATTAAAATAATAATTTATCTAAATCAAAATATTTTATATAAATTAAATATTATATATTTTAACTTTTATTAATATAAAATATGGAAATTTTGGATTCAAATTAAGATGACACATTAAATTATGAATAAATATTTGACGATTAAATATTTATGATAAATTTAAAATAAAAACTTATATCAATTTTAGATTAAGTTAATAAATATAATATTATACATATACTATCAAATCTATATTTAAATATAAAAAATATTAATATGAAGTTTCCAGGCAAAAAAATATTATATTTAGATAAAAAGATGCTAGATTTAGTAAATTTTATAGTATAAGCAAACACATTAAAAGATAATGGAATTATAGATACATTTTATTTAGATTAAGATGTAAAAAATAAAAATAAAAAAATACAATACAAAACAAAACAAAAAGGAAAGTTATTCTGAAATAAACTAAGTAATTTTCTTCTTATCTCCATCAATTGAACATGTAAAAAGAATTGCAAAAATTATTCACAGTGACTAAAGTAGAGGATAATAAAAGAAATATTGTAGTATATTTTCTCCAAGAATAACATCTTTATGTCGTGAAGCATTTGAAAAATTAGGAGTAATGAGTAATATAATAATAAAGAATTTTAATTTCGATTTAATTCCTTTAGAATCAGATTTGTTTTCTTTAGAAATAAATACAGTAATTGAAGATATGTATTTTGATAAAGACCAAAGTATTTTTTAACAAGTAGCTGATTCTATTTAAAGAATCGAACTTTTATACGGAAAGTCAAAAAAAGTTTTTGCGAAAGGACATGCAGCTAAAGGTGTTTTGTAAGTACTTTTAAATAGAGAAAAAAGTGGGAGAATTTTCGAGGATGAAGGAAATGATTATTCTCTTTTAGATTCTATCATAATGATTGACAGAACATCAGATTTAATAAGCCCTTTATGTACCCCTTTTACTTATTAAGCAATAGTAGACTAAAAATATTAAATAAATTAAAATTTCGTGGAAGTTCCTGCAACTTTGTTTAAAGAAAAGGTACAAAATAATCAGGAAACTTGCCAATTATATATGAATTCAAATACAGATGAAATATATAAATAAATAAGAGGAAAAAATGTAAAATCTTGTCAAGGCTATTTATAAAAAAGAAGAGATGAGTGTAAAAATTATATCTAATCTAAAAAAGAAAATATTCTAAATATTAGTTAGTAAGAAAGAGAAATGTTCATTAAATAATCTAAAATTTTTACTTTTATTTTAAATCATATTGTTTTAGTTTGCGATATTAGTTAAATGATTGACTCTATTTTATTTGATAAAAATATGAAGGCTGAAGTTAATATAATCCTTTAAAATAATATGGAAGAAACTCTTGAACACATTGATAACCTTATTGCCTTTTAATATCCTTTAGAAGAAATTCTAAGATTATTAGCTTTATATTCGTAAGTTGAAAATGGAATTAAATAAAAATAATATGACCATTTCAGAAAAGAAATCGTTGAGGTTTATGGTATTTAACATCTAATCACTTTAAATAAAATGCAAGAAATTGGTCTAATAAAAAAACAAGTTCAAAAATCAGAATGGGAAAATTTAAGAACTGTAATTTTTTATTTTAATAATATATTAAGTTTATATTTTAAAGAAACTTGATTTAATTAATGAAGAAGTAGATCTTGATAATCCTGATGATATTTCTTATGTTTATTTAGCTTATGCTCCTTTATCGTGAATTTATTTATTTATTAATATTAATATAAAAAAAAAATATATATATATATATAGGGTAAGGTTAGTTGAATAAACATTTAAATAAGGCTAATGGAAAGATATTTAAAAAGAATTAGAATATTTAAATGGACCTTCAATGTTTTAAGCTTAAGAAGATACTAATTAATCTAAGCGAAAAAAGCTAGTTCTTGTGTATTATGTAGGAGGAGTTACTTATGGAGAAGTAGCAGCCTTAAGACTTTTAGCTAAAAAATATAGTACCAAAATCATAAAAATTATTCTTATTTTAAATATATTTTTATGATTTAAAAAAAAATAGATAAAGAAATTATTATCTGTACAACTAATATTATTAATAGCTAAAGATTAATAAAAATGTTAATGTGAAGTTTTATAGTATATATCTAATTTCATTTAAAATTAAAAGGCATATAAAATTGATATATTATTTGTAAAAATCAATATTAATAAAAATATTTAAAAAGTATTTACTTGCTTTGATGTTTTTTATTTTTTCGCTTTTTTTTTTTAAAAAACTCAATCAAAAAAAAAAATGTTATAATTTTTTATTTTATTTTTTTGATATTAAAAAAAAATTATAGTAAAAATAAAAAAGACAACAGAAAAAGTTATAATTAGTATGTTATTATAAAAATATTAAAATAAAATATAATTATAATTAAAAATTATGTTTAAAGGTATGTGTTTATATAACAAAATTACTTTATTAATTTAAAATATTAAAATAAAATAAAAAAAATAATTAATTATAAATAAAAGTAACAACATTTAAATATAATTAAATATTAATTAAAAAAATATCCAAAATTTTGAAACTTCTAAATTTTTTTATTAAATATTAAATGTAAATGAAAATAATTTATAATTAATATTAAAGTAATTTTGTTTATTTATATTTCTTATTAAAGAAAATCAAATTAATTTTAATATATTGAATATAAAATTAATTATTTAATCTTTCCAATACATTTTATTTTATAACTTACAATATATCTTTATTTATTTTTATTTTTTTTAAACATTTATTAATAATTTTCATTAATCTAAAATCATAATATAAAATTATTATTAATAAATAATTTATTAATTCAAATACAAAACTTATCATTAATATATTTTTTAAACTTATTATTTTAATTTTTTAAAAATTAAATAATTTATATATTAAATAAAGATTTAATAAAATATGTATTTTTTAAAAAAATATTTTTAATTATTTTCAAATATTTTTTATGTGAAAATAAATATATAAAAAAAAACTAAATTAAAAAAAAAAATATAAAAATCTGCATAAATTATAGACTATATTAATTTTAATTTAATTATTCTTTTAAAGAATCATAAAGAATATTGAAAGCAAGATTCATATCTTCATTATCAGTTTATTTATCGTTATCATTTTTGATATTTAAAATAAGACTTTAATATTTTCGATGTATGTTTAAACTAGAATCATCAAAGCAATAGACACTATATATTTTTTTATGTTAAAAGCTTTCAAATCTCATAATTTTCTATTTTAAAATTTTAAAAAATCAATTTAATGAAAGTAAATAGATACATAAATATTTATATTTTTTAAAAATATATATACTTACATACATAATTTTATTCTTATTTTTTTATTTTATTTTCTATACATTTTTTAGTTAAAAAAATAGCTGCAGTTGATTTTTTATTTAAAATTTCACTTCAGAATAAATATTAATTATTGATTCTTTTTTAGTTGGGATTTTTTTTATTTGTTTTTACTTTTTTATATTTTACATTTAAATAGATTATTCTTATTATATATTTTATTTGTTATTCATATATAAATTTATATTAATGACTTTCTTCTTATATAAAATTAATAATTAAAATATGTTTTAAATTTTAGTATTTATTTGATATTATTTTATAAAACTAATATTTGTATTTTTTATTTCTTATAATTTTTATTACTTTATATTTATTCTTAAAATTGGATTATATGAAAATTAAATGCATATATTATTTTATTCTAAACTATTTATATTTATGATTAAATTTTTTAATAAATATTAATTATTAAAAATTAAATGTAAATATAATAATAATAAAAATTATCATTAAATAAATTAAATATTATAAAACTTTATTTTTTAAAAAAATAAATTATATTTTTTATAAAATATAAAAATTAATCAAAAAATAAAAGATTTTAAAATAAATTTCATTTTATATATAAAAAATATTAATAATTAAATTAAATTATTTAAACTAAATAAAAGTTTAAAAATATAAAAATATTATTTTATATATATTTAAGCTTCATATTTTGAAAAATAAATATACAAAATTAAGAATAATTAAAAAATATATTTTAAAAAAAGTTAATAAAAGTTATTAAAAAAAATGAATTATAAATTAATCATTAAATAAATAAAAAATTAAAAATGATAAAGATGAAATATAAATAGTTTTTATTTTAAATATAAATTAATATGTAAAATAGATTTTATCTTAAATTTAAAAATTTAAAAATTGTTATAATATTTGAAAAATATAAAAAAAACAAAAACAAAATTATAAAAAATAAAATATTATGAATTTAAATTAAAAATAAGAAAAATTATAAAATAATTTTTAAATTTATATATAATAAATAATAATTTTTAAATATGAGATATTTTATTATATTATAAATAATTTCTTTTTTAAATATTAAAATGTATTAAATATTTAATAAAAAAAAAATATTAAAATATTAATTCAAAAAAAAAATTATTAGAATAAAAACATTAAATATATTGTATTTTAAAAATAATTATTAAGACAAAAATATTAATTTATATAAAAAATATATAAGAGTAAAAATAAATACATAAAAAAAAAAAAAA